CGCTGCCGGTCTGTTAATCCATTGCGTCTCGCATAGGGACGCATGAGATATGTGTTAAGAGGGAAAGCCTCATCGGCCACAATCACGTGTGGGAAAGGAACATCTCGACCTGGAAGAGGTATTGGTAGTGGAAGATCAGCATCACCAGAGGCGAGATCTGCAGCTAATTCCGAATTTCTCCACACACCACCATCACTGATCGAACCTATAATTACATCAATTCCATTGCAGCATTAATATTAATTTGTTACTAAACAGTACTAATTTTTTATTAATTAATTAATTATTAATTTAATATTAATTAATACAAAGCTTTCTATAAGATCGTTATGTGATTATATTAATAGGAAATAAAGGTTCTAAACGATCAAGCTGAATCCTTAGTGCTAAATAATTATTGTGTTAATTTATATATCACATATGTAATTCATTGATTAATCTTGGACTTTTTGATGAACTTTTGAATAAGCTTTTTTATTGGGAAGATGTTAAGATCTCTTTAACAAGATGCTGATGAAGCATCAATTTATTAAATTGATTGTTCAATTTAATGGTAATATTACTACAAGTAATTCCATCGATTTTCGCATCTTCCCAATCAAAAAGCTCACGTTCAAGATTAATCGATGAATTACATATATGGTTTGTAAATTCACACAATAATTACTTAGCACTAAAGATTCAGTTTCACCGTTTAGAACCTTTATTTCCTATTAATTTAATAGTAATTATTTAAGTATTAATTATGTATTAATTCGGTATTAATTTCTTACCAAACTGTCCAATATCTACCCATGTGAATTTGTGATTTGCATCACAAAGTGCCAGTAGCACTATACTGAAGAAGCTTTTGTAATTGTAGTACTGTGATCCAGAGCATGGAGGCTTTTTGATTTCCATGTGTCTGCCATCCAGAGCACCAATACAGTTTGGAAATTGCCACCTTAGCATGTATTCATTACTTATTTTTGTCCAGCCATTAGCATTTAATGTAGGAAGCACAATGGGTTGCAAGACATGCCATATAGTACGACAAACTTCTGGCACTACTTTGCAAACAGTAGATTTGCCAACTCTAAACTCTAGATGTTTAGTTCTCATGCTCTCTCCTTGAGCGAGATACCTACATAATAAAAAGACATTATTTAATACCAGAGTATCTATTTTGTTTATGATAGCATGTCCATTTTTAAAAATGTTGAGTTGATTTATATTTACGTCAAGGTTAACCAGAAACGAAACCTTGGTGAAAGAGGTTTCCGCATGCTACTTTTTTTCAGATATGGATGTATCAAATTCAGTAAGAATTCGAATTGCTCTGGCCACATCCGAGTATATCCAATAAATTCTTATTTATTACATATCTTTGGTATTAAATAATGTCTTTTTATTATGTAGGTATCTCGCTCAAGGAGAGAGCATGAGAACTAAACATCTAGAGTTTAGAGTTGGCAAATCTACTGTTTGCAAAGTAGTGCCAGAAGTTTGTCGTACTATATGGCATGTCTTGCAACCCATTGTGCTTCCTACATTAAATGCTAATGGCTGGACAAAAATAAGTAATGAATACATGCTAAGGTGGCAATTTCCAAACTGTATTGGTGCTCTGGATGGCAGACACATGGAAATCAAAAAGCCTCCATGCTCTGGATCACAGTACTACAATTACAAAAGCTTCTTCAGTATAGTGCTACTGGCACTTTGTGATGCAAATCACAAATTCACATGGGTAGATATTGGACAGTTTGGTAAGAAATTAATACCGAATTAATACATAATTAATACTTAAATAATTACTATTAAATTAATAGGAAATAAAGGTTCTAAACGGTGAAACTGAATCTTTAGTGCTAAGTAATTATTGTGTGAATTTACAAACCATATATGTAATTCATCGATTAATCTTGAACGTGAGCTTTTTGATTGGGAAGATGCGAAAATCGATGGAATTACTTGTAGTAATATTACCATTAAATTGAACAATCAATTTAATAAATTGATGCTTCATCAGCATCTTGTTAAAGAGATCTTAACATCTTCCCAATAAAAAAGCTTATTCAAAAGTTCATCAAAAAGTCCAAGATTAATCAATGAATTACATATGTGATATATAAATTAACACAATAATTATTTAGCACTAAGGATTCAGCTTGATCGTTTAGAACCTTTATTTCCTATTAATATAATCACATAACGATCTTATAGAAAGCTTTGTATTAATTAATATTAAATTAATAATTAATTAATTAATAAAAAATTAGTACTGTTTAGTAACAAATTAATATTAATGCTGCAATGGAATTGATGTAATTATAGGTTCGATCAGTGATGGTGGTGTGTGGAGAAATTCGGAATTAGCTGCAGATCTCGCCTCTGGTGATGCTGATCTTCCACTACCAATACCTCTTCCAGGTCGAGATGTTCCTTTCCCACACGTGATTGTGGCCGATGAGGCTTTCCCTCTTAACACATATCTCATGCGTCCCTATGCGAGACGCAATGGATTAACAGACCGGCAGCG